AGAATTTTCTTTTTATGAAACTGGTACTTAGGTAAAGCTGTTCCACAAAAACCCGTCATTAAGCTTCTTTATTTGTGAAATTGATGCTTAGGTAAAGCTGAGAGAAAACTAGTTCCATGAAGTGGGCAAAAACAGGGTAGAATGGGTGAGAATGGGATGCTTCTGTGAGATTTTGAAGACAAAAAAACAAAATATAACTGTTGTGCAGAGTTGTAGACTGCAAGAGGCAACACTGTGGAAATGCCTGCAGTTCTTGTGTAATCCAACTAGACTTATTGCCCTCAGCTTCACCTAAGCATAAGCTTCAGTAAATCCTGTCGAAATTATCTGCCCTCAGCTTCACCTAAGCACAAGTTTCAGTAAATCCTGTCGAACATATTTGCCTCAGCTTCACCTAAACATAAACCTCATAAACGCGGGGACCGTTTACTGGAGACAGGTTTTTGTACGATAAATCCTACTCGCACAAGCTCAGCTTTTGTTTGCTTTTCCTTTTTTTGCTTTTGATTACAGGCTCCAAATGTTTGATTTTGCTTTTTTTCCTTTTGTTCACAAATTTAGGCCTGTTTTGATTTACTCCTCTTTGTAGTGCCGTGTTGGTTTATTTTCCTCTTTACTGCTATCTGTAATTCTTGCTTCGAACTCCTGACTAGCACCCTTCTTCATCACCTGTATCCTGCCCCCAATTCCTGCCTCCAGAGCCGCATCGGGGCACCCACAACTTCCAACCACTGTCACCGTTTATCGTCCTGAACTCCTAACCAGCAACTTCATTTCTCCCGATTATCCTGGCTTCAGTCGCGCCCTCTGAGCTATATCTTGGAAACTATCAACAACCCCCCTCCCCCGCCACCACGTCCAGCCCTTCCATCCATCACTCCCTTCCCCCTAGCCACGTGATTCAGCCGCCAGACACTGGGCGCCGCTACCCAGCGCGTCTGGCAAAGCTCCAGCGAGCGGCGCCGCGAAATAGTGTTGGCCGAGATGATAGAGCGAAGCGCTGGAAGACTAAAGCACCATAGATCATCAGCGGAGCCGAGTTGTTGTAATTGTCGCTAGCGGATGGGAGTGAGGGCATTTCATAATTGTTGCTGGGCCGAGGTTTAGTGGTTGCCGCAGCGGGCCGTTGTCGAATTTGGTCTGTTGGGAGTGTCCGTTCAGTGATTCGCCCTTTCTTTCTGCGTGGTTCCTTGTCTGCTGGTGTGGGGACTTCTTGCAATTTTTGGTCGGATTAGGAGCGTATTAGTTTACTTTTGCATTGCTTCAGACGCTTCCGTTGCTGGGCAAGCCGCTGCAGCTGGGTTGGGGCCAAGCTTGACTGCTTGCCGCATTTTCGCCTTTTCTTTGATCAGCGATTTCACACGCTGCTGCTGCTGTGCAGATATCTTTTTTGTCCAGCCAGCTTTGTTCTGGTCGGCCTTCCCACATGGTGCACGATTTTGGCGCCAGGGGGGGGGGCTCTCAGCGCGAAACATGTAAGGAGCTGGACGCCGTGCTCGCCAACTAATTGAGTAGCCAAGCCGGTGGGGCAGTTTTGCAGCAGTGGTCATCCGGTTCTTCCTCTCCACTGGGCACCATTTCCCATCCAGCCGTGAGTCGCGTTCAGCCGATTTTCCTTCAGGTTTGCTGTCGATCAGAAGTGAATCAGAAATGGTGAAGTTGTTCGTGGGTGGATTGCCGGATGGTGTGGATTCGATGCGCCTTCGGCAGCTTTTTTCGCAGTTTGTGGTTGTCAACGAGTGCGATGTGATCAAGGACTACGCATTTGTTGTTCGTTGCTTTAAAATTTGATGTGGCTGTTAACGGCCAGAGCCTGAAGCTGTCCTCTGCGCCACGGACTCTCTGTTAGTAGTCGCCTACGATCAGTCATTTGTTCGTCAAAGCAGCCATAACCAGACCGGTCGCGAGTGATTCCCTTAGGAAAGCAATGGTCTGGTGCTTGGTCGAGGAAATTTACTCCTTCTCTGTTCGGGTTGTACCCAGGACTCTTGTCTGAATTGCACTGGCGCGGCAATGAGCGGTCTTTTGTTTCGAAAGAGAGAAGCAGTTGAGGGGGAGAGCTGGGAAGGCGAGCCCGGTGCTTAGATTTTTAGGGCAGAAAGAGCGCATGCTTAGGGTATGCTGAAGATAGAAGTGGTGTAGAATATTCTCTATTGTCTATCGAATTCAAGGTGGAGGCTTTTTTGCAAGCCGGCAGGGTTTCTTGTGAAATGCAACTGAGCAGTGCCGTCTGATCTGCGCGTCTTCAGCATTTTCCCGGCCACTCTCAGTGCCGCCGCTCATAAAATTGCTTCTTTCTGGCAGGTACTGGATGCTTCTGTATATCGGCACTACGTGCTATTTTTAGAAAGAGCAGCTGGTAGGAGGAGGGTGGGGGG